GAAGCAAACAGCCAAAGCTCCACAGAAATGGTTTAAAGACAACAAGGTGAAGTTCTGGAGGCCCAGTCAGAGTCCAGGCCTCATTCCAGCTGAGAATTAGTGTCTGGACCTGAGAAGTTCTGTTCACTCATGATCCCTGACGAACCTGACAGAGTCTGAAACTGTCCAGATGTCCAAGCTGATGGAGACCAACAGGACCAATGATGGACCTGAAGGTTCATCTGCTGAATACTGACCGGAGGAGGAGAATGCATATGCACTCATTTATATTACATTTAATATTTTTATTTCATTGACATTACTTAGTAGAAATCTGACATGAAAAAGTTCTTTTTTTGTGAAATCTTGAAAAAAGCCATATTGAATTGACCATTATTGAAAAGCAATAAAAGCAGGAGGGGGTGGGTCTTGTTATTGGCACCGTGCTTTGTCATAATAATGTGTTTAAACTCTGACAGTGTGTCGTGTAAATGAGCTGTAATCTGTGTCTGCGCTCTCGAATCATGAGACGCTGTGATGTATGGATGCAGGCGATCGCTGGAAAAACAAAAAGGGCTGCAAACAGCACAATCCAACCGGACGTGTGTTTGGCTGCGTACTACATTTGACACTCTGGGGGTCTGTGGGGACGTACCACATGGTTTTCTGACATGCTGTAGTTTTATGGGATATTAGAACGCTCCCCGTGTTACTCTGCTGCTGTCGACATCCAGAAAGAAAATCTGATTCATGTCGTCCTTGAGTATCAGACGACTCCCGCTTCTTAAAAAACCTGATAATCGGGTCAGAACATCGTGTCCCCACAACACGAGGAACACAGCGACACACACACTCTTTGTGGGGACTCCAGGTGGTTTCCTGTGCAGAATTTTAAGGCGTCCTCAGACACACACACACTGGTACGTGGCTGTGTTTGTGCACATTAGCATGCACACAACGAGCTGCAGCGCCGAGCCAAGGGCACCTTAACCATCACTGTCCACACACAGTCCAGGTGTGTTGTTGCTCAAAGAGAAAAATCTGCAATGCAGCAAGAATCCCAAACTAAAAGCAGTCTTCAGAGTACTGCTGCTGCTCTCACAGTAGTACTGCTACTACAGTACTACGATGCTGCTGCTGCTGCTGGTTTACATAATAATGAGTATTACTGCAGCTGCTTCGGGAGATAACGGGACTCAGCCTGCAGCTCCAACAGTCGGGCTCTAATAGAAATCTGCACGCGCTCAGTTCGGGTCTGCTGCTTTCTGAGGCCTTTAACATGATGTTTGTGCTGCAGTGAAGCAGCTCTGCAGACACACAAAGACTCCACGCTGCAGTCTCTCTCCCTCTGTGTGTTCATACGCAGCTCATTCAGACCTGCAGCGTTTTCTGTTAATCCGTGTGTCGTCTCCATAAACTTCAGCAAAACAGTCGGAAAAGGTTGAAGCATTTCAATAAGCCCGAGTGGATGCAGACACCAGATCAGGACGAACTGATGTCGGATGTTTTTACGTGGCGACCAATCAGGACAGACACAGAAGAGAGGAATCATTCAGAAGCAGCAGCTTTACTGCAAAGAAAAAGAAAAAAAAATGTTTGGCACAAACGTCTGAGAGCTGTTCAGATAATCCTTCTCCCTTTGCGCCTCGTTTACAAATCTGGGGGAAAAGATCCAAACATTGTTTCTGTAGCATAACACACTTTAGGTTTACTGGGAACAAAATTAAAGAGATTAATTTAAATGTACTCGGTCCTGTGAGGACGCAGAGGATAAGTCTCCAACTGTCCTGGACGTACAGACGGAGCAGTCACGCTCTAGTTTTATTAAAAGTCTGTTCACAGACTCAGTGAGATGTTTTCTGCTGCAGGAACGTTTTAATGTCTATATTTGGGAATATTTTGAATGACGTCTAGTGCTATAGAGGCCTTTGGATCTGAGCAAGGGCTGAATAATGCCAAGGTTACATTTTGAATATTCTGAATGAATTCTGGTTTTACAGAAGTCTGTGCAGCAAACGACTGAATGAAGTCGAGGCTAAATTTGGGGACATTTTAAATAAAGTCTGGTTCAATAGATGAACATTAAGGAGCATGAATTTATGTTCTGAAAAGTGGGCCTTGACAGAATATAATTGAGACTTTCACCTGAATACAATCGAGTCTAAAAGTAGCTCAGTTTTGAATGACGTCTGGTGTGTGTGTGTGACATACAAGGGCTGAACAAAGCAGGTCTAAAATTAGTAATGTTTTGAATGAAGTCTGGTGCTGTCGATGCTTCGAAGCCAGACGAGATCGATAATGTCAAGGTTAAAATTAGGACTATTTTGAATGAAGACTGGTACTGTAGATGCATTTTCAGAGGGAGGAATTTGTTTTCTAAAATGAGCCCTGACAGGGAAAAAAAGAGAATTTCCCCTTAATACAATCTCATCTAAAATTAGCTAAATGTTGAATGAAGTCTGGTTTCTGTTGGATCCTATTTGACAGTTTCTGGTGCGACAGAAACGTTTCGCTGAATGTAGACAAACGTGGGCACATGTGGAACGAACTGGGTAAAACTGGAGGCACAGATTCGTCTGTCTCACTGCAGTCGGTTTCCTCCCCTCCTCCTCCTCCTCTTCTTCCTCCGTTGCCGTGGAGGATGCTGCGGTTGCCACGGTTACCAGCTTCCCCATTGTAAGCCTGGTTTATTCAGGAATGTGCTGAAAAATGACGCCGAAAAATGTGACCTGAACTCATCAGTTACGATCTAATTCCAACCTGGGCGATCGATAATCAATTGAACAGATCTTATTGTGAGTCGAGGCTGCCCTCACCCCACCACCCCTCCCCCCCTTTCCTCATCGTCTCACAGCGCCGACTCCATTTATAGACGATGATGTCAGCACTCTCCTGTTACACACCCCTCCCCCCCCGCCCTCCCCCTCACACCTCGAGTGTCTCACCCCTCCCTCCCCCACTCACCCCCTCCCCCCCTTGCAGAAACTCCCTCCTTCTGCAGACGTCTCGCTGCGTCTTTGTCTCGTCTGATTGGTCGACTGCAGGTGATGCTGCAGATCTCACCTGCGCCTCTGTGTGCTTCAGGCTCTTTATTTAACCCGTTCCGTCTGACACGTCCACATTTAGCCTGTTTGAGCCCACACGGATCCCCATTTAGACCACTTTAGTGGGCATATTTAACTCACATGGGCCCACTTTTAGCCCAAAGGTGTCAATGTTGGTCTTGATTTACACAACTGGGGTCTTTTTTTGGTCCATTTTGCACAAAAATAAACATGTTTAGTCCAATTGTAGCACATCTAGCGCATATAGACCCACACTGGCCTGCATGGGTCCATCTAGACAGTATGTGTTCATATTTAAACCACTTTTAGGTGTATAAAAACCTACATATACCCACAAAGAGTCCACTTTTAACCCCAACAGACTCCATATGGGTGTCGATTTAACCCCTCTAGGCCACATGTAGCACACATAGGTTCATATTTAAACCACTTTTAGGACAATTTAGCCCACATATACCCACACTTAACCCATATTTTGTCACTTTTAGACCAAAGGGTTTACCATTTAACCACAGGGGATCCAGGTTTGGCCTGCATTAGTCCATATTCAACCCCAACAGACTCCAAATGTGTCTTGATTTAGCCCAATTCGTCCACAATTAGTGCATCAAGCTGTTCTAAAGTCACGTTTTCTGCCTGGATCCAGATCCCACAGTGTCTCTGGGTCCTCATTTAGCCCATCTGGGTCCACGTTTAGCCCGTTTGGGTCGACATGTAGCACACATTGGTCCACTCTGAGCTCGTAGTGGAGGGATGACGGGAAACCACAAGGACAGAATGAAAGAAAAGGTTAACACACACACTCACAAATGCTGCATTAATATTCATCTCCAGCCGTTACTACAACGCTCATGAATTATTGGTCGCATGTAAAGGTCTACGGAGAGGAGGAGGAGGAGGAGGAGGAGCAGGAGGATGAAGCAGGAGGAAACAAAAGAAGGGAGCAGCGAGGAGGAAAAAGGCGAGCAGAAGCAGGAAACAGAGGAAACTGTTTCACCTCCTCCTCCCCCCTCGTCTCCTTCCTCCCTGTGAATGGAAGCCGCTGTCCTCCATCAGCATACCTGCTCGCTGTCACCATGGGAAACCACTGAGGCGTTGCCTAGCAACAGCAGCAGCAGCAGCATGATGTCTGCAGCAGCTGTTTGCGATCACTTCTGAGCGGCTAAATGACAGAGCAGCAGGCGATAGCGGCGGCCATTTTATCCCCACCCATCACACACAGACACACACAGACACACAAAGACACACACACGCACCGCCATGCTATGTCTCCTCAGAGGACGTTACACGGACTTACATTCATTAAGTGTGTAATTTTAATGATTTATGGGGACGTGCTCGAATGTGACTGTAAACACATTAATGTCCCGACAACATGACGAACTCACTCGCTGCGTGGTGTCCTCTGATTGACTCCAGAGGCAGCAGACCGTAGACACACTCAGTAAACACCAGACGGCCGACGCTAATGGGCTTTTCCTGCCGTCTGAGTGTGTGTGTCGGAGTTACTCATGTTGCGAGGACACACGTCTGTTTGCAGATCCACATTACGGAGACACAAAGCAAGTCCTCTGGAGATAAATCATTCAGTTGTAGTGTGAAGACGTAGTTTAACAGCGAGTTATTATTTGGGGTTTGTGTTCCTGTGTGGCGTCTTCATCTCGCGTTGTTCAGACTTTTATGGCTCCAACTTGCCCAACTGAACATTTTCGTTGGTCAGCGGTGCTCCAGGTATGTCTGAGTGGCCCTTCAATGTGGATAAAATCACCTGGTTTAAGGTTAATCTGACATTATAGCCCCTTTTTCTTTTCAAACAGACTCACATCTGTCTGAGCTGCTTTACCTGATGGAGACTGGACGCTTCTCTGTGCACAAACAACTAGCAGCTTCTACTGGTATCTGTGAGGTGTTTAGGGGACGTCTGTAAATTGTAGCGTCTGCTCTTTCTGTATTCAGGGACGAGCGGTATCTCCAACATGCTCCAAGCGTTTCAACGGCTGACAGAATTCTCCTGCAGTCTTCAGCCAATCACAGCCAGGAGGCAGCGAGGAAAGCCAATGAGGTGCTGAGGGAGATGGGACGTCTGAAGGCTGAGATGAAGATGCTGCTGACGGTAAGTAGACAATGAAAGTGCCACTAGTAGGTGTCTGTAGTGTTACAACTGATTGATGAAACGATTTTAAACAAAAAACAAACATAACATAAAAACTGACCTGCAAGACTCAACTCAGGGAACAAAAAGTCCCAGAGCCTCTACGTCTGTGCTGAGAGTTTGTTGATGTAAAATACGAAAAACTTCTGTCATCCAGCAGCCAGAAGACTCTCTGAAAACTCTGACACCTGCACCGGATCATCACCAGATCCAACAGAACCAGCATCTGACCCAGCTACACCAGTCCCAACAAAACCAATCCCATCAAAACCAGTCCCAAACTAAGAAACTCCAGCAAAACCAGTCCCAGCTATCCCAGTCCCTTCAAAATCGATCAAAACAAAACCAATCCCAACAACAATCCAAACAATCCCTTTCTCAGTCCCAACAAAACCAGTCCCAGTCCCATCTAAACCAGTCCCAACAAAGTAAATCCAAAGAAAACCAGTCTCAGTCCCAGCTATCCCAGTGCCATCAAAACTTGTCTCATCAAAACCAGTCCCAACAAACCAGTTCCCAAGACAACCCCTTCACTTATAAACCTTCCCATTTCCAACTAAACCAGTCTCAGGCCCAGAAATCCCAGTCACAGCAAAAACAGTCAGAACAAAACCAGTCTCACAATTCCCAAGGAAACCACGTCCTGTATGAACCTCCTGAGTTCCGTCAGTCTCACCAGCACATGTACCGACAAAACCAGTCCCAGTCCCATCCCCTGTTCCATCAAATTCAGCCACAGCAACATCAGACCCATCAAACCCAGTCCCAGCAGTTCCAGTCTGTACTGGTCCAGAGGAAGCCTGTGGTTCCGTCCACATTGGAGGAGGCTGGTCAGGTTCTCCGTCAGGTTCGCAGACAGAAGAAAGTTATGGAGGAGAACCTGGAAGCACTGCTGAGAGCCAAAACTGGAGAAGTCCTGCACTGCCAGCTGGAAGCACTGGCTGCTAACAGGTAGCTAGTGCAAATTGGTAGCTCACAGGTAGCTAACACTCACTTATAGCTGACAGGTAGCGAATATTTATTTATAGATGACAGGTAGCTGACACTTATTTATAGCTGATAGGTAGCTAACATTTATTTATAGCTAGCAGGTAGCAAAGCTAACTTATAGCACACAGGTAGCCAAAACTTACTTCATTAGTAGGTAGCTAGTACTTACTTGTAGCTGACAGGTAAGGTAACTGACATTTATTTACAGCTAGCAGGTAGCTGACACATATTTACAGCTGACAGGTAATGAACACTTTTTCATAGCTCACAGGTAGCTAATATTTATTTATCGCTGACAGGCAGCTAACATATATTTATAGCTTATCTCTCAGCTACCACTTATTTGTAGCTGACAGGTTGCTAACCCCTTTTCATAGCTTACAGGTAGCTAGCGAACACTTATTTACAGCTAACAGGTAGCTAAAACCTTGTTTCTGCTAGAAAGTAGCTAAAATGTATTGATTGCTAACAAGTAGCTAACACGTATGACAGCTAACAGGTAGCTAGCCTTCATTTATAGCTGACAGGTAGCTAGCATTTATTTATAGCTGACAGGTAGCTAACATTTATTACAGCTAACAGGTAGCTAACACTTATGACCGCTAACAGGTAGCTAACATTTGTTTATAGCTGACCGGTAGCCAACATGTAAATTTCTCTTGGAGATGAATAAAGTATCTATCTATCTATCTATCTATCATATATTTTTATTAGCATGCTGCTAACAGCCCGCTAACTAACATTGCGTTTCCTAACAAATAGCAGTTTGATTTATCTGCTAACGTACAAAAATCCTGTAGCATTTGAGCAGCAGCTGAACAGTGAATCAGTGATACAGCAGCTGGTTTCTGTTTGTCATTGTGTTGCGTTGACTGACAGCTGACCTCAGAGGTGAAGATGAACACAAACGTCACTTCCATCTGCAGTGTTTAAAATGTGTGTGTTTGTCTGCAGAGACTGGACTGAGGAGGTTCGGATCAAGAAGACGGTGGACGCCTGGATCAACACTTTAACCAGAGACATCCAGGTGAGCTGCTAGCAGCAACAGAATCAGAACCAGAATCAGCTTTTCTGGCCAGGTATGTGTACACAAGCAGGGAAAGTCACTCCATTGTTGTCTTTGCTTTAAAATGACTTGCAGAAAATAACACTCGTGCACTCTTTAACGAGGACAGTGGGTTAAACAAAGGAAGTGGTGAACTACTTTAGCACGTTTAAAAATCAACCCTATGGTTCAGTGAACTCAGCGACGTGGCGCTACTGCCACCATCTGTTCAGTCACTGATAAGACAACAGCTTTATAAAGCTCTCTGAGCACACCATAACAACGGCTTCTTCTTTACTACACAATTTATTATAGATTATTTTCGTGACCATCGATCAAATTATTGAGAGGAGAAAGTTCATCCTCAGAAAATGAATGATTTCAACACTGGAAATTCTGATCATATGTAATGATAATTTATCAAACAATGAAATGTGTTTTTATCATGACTGTCTGTCTGTTATCTACTATCTATCATTACATAGGCTCTAATGCATCCAATCTGGACAGTAACATTTCTGTGGATAATATCCTGCTCTCTCACAAAAACTAAAAACTTGATATGACAGCAAAATAAACTGATTCACTGTAGCTGTGATGTGAAGAGATGTTCACAGAGCTGTCAGATTCTGATCCGTTCTGTCTCCATGTCAGGATCATCTATAAATATCGGCAGTTAATTAAAGTCATTGATGATAAATACAGCAGCTCTCTCTCATATGGAACTTTCTTCTGTCTGATGATGCAGGTATTTAATTAACTCTGAGGAAAATCTAAACAGCTGCAGGCAACAAACTGAACTTTAGCTCTTCTGCAAAACTAAACACACATTCTGGGGCACAAACTCTGTCTTTTGTGCTCTTTGTGATGTTTATGAACAGTCATCAATGCTGCATTCACTTGCACTGGGACATGGTACTTGTATTTACTGAAACTTGGAGGTCAGAGTTTCCCTGAGATGACTGTTCAGCCCTACTTTCAAACTCTGTTCTTTTTTCTTCTCCTCCTCTGGGGGACCAGAGGGGGAGAAAAAGACTGAAACTCATGTTTTTCCTCGTCCTCCTCAGGCTGAGATGTCCTCAGAGGATGCCGCCCGATGCAGAGCCGCAGACGCTGCTGTGACATCACAGAGCTCCGCCCACCCAGGAAGGACGAAGCCACTGAGCGTGCCCAGAACAGCAGCGAGTAGGCCGGCAGCAGGGAGGGGAAGCAGAGGACGGACGTCTGGACACAGAACGGTCAGACTGGATTCTACTAACAACCACTGATGTGACTGACCTGATCAGTGGCACATCAGCAGCCAATCACTGTGGTTCTTACTCTGTGCAGCAGCAGCAGGGGGCGGAGCCTGACGCAACCCCAGGTAGACTGACGGACAGCGAGCAGGTGGACGGAGAGTCGTACCTGAACCGTCTGTACGGCAGAGCACCGTACGAAGGCCTGAGGCGAACCCTGAAGAAGAGTCCGTACCTTCGCCTCAACTCACCTGCCTCGCCGCTCGGCAAGAAGCCCCGCCCCCGACTGGTGGAGAGTGTCAGAGGTCAGGATATAAAAAACACGTTTAAATCTTTAAACGAGTGAAACATGATTATAAATGTTGCTGACTGGTCCTTGACTCTCAGGCGTGAAGCTGAAGTCCTGCAAGACTCAGACCAGTCTGGCCCCGCCCCTCAACATGGCTCCACCCCTCAACCTATCACCTGTGCGACATCACCATGTCTTCAGCTCCTCCCACCTGACCTCAGGTGACCCCGCTGACCTCCCTGTGACCCCTGCAGACAGTCAGCCTGTTGCCGTGGCGATCCCACTGGGTCAGTAAGCAAACAAATGCTTATTAATGTTTGTTTTTGTTTGTGCTGTTCTGTGAGAGGAAACAGAGTGAACTCCATTACCCAGAAATCCTCATGAAGCAAAAATATAGGCATTAAATAAAAGTCTGATTCAGAAATATTAAAGAGAAGTTTTACTATAAAAGTCAAACCATCATTTACAGATGTTTAGATTTAATACAATGTGTTTGTAAAAGTGTGTGTTGATGGAAATGTATGGATGTAAGGAGGAGCACAGGGACTCTATTGTTTGCTTAGTTTAGGGTTTTCTTCAATCTTCTCCCTCTACGTGTTAAAAACAGAAACATGCCGATCGTGCCTTTGTTCCAAATTAAATTAAAAATTAAAACAAAACAGAAGAAATGCTACCGCTGCTTCTCAGAGTCAAAAACAAAACTAAATAAATTAAAATAATGAACAACTGTTAGTTATAATTAATAAGATTGGTAGAAGTGGACATGAAAGTAAAAAGCAGAATTAGTCAAAAAATATAATCCGGATGTCGTTCACTCTGAGTTCCTCGTTTGTTTTGTCTTTAAAATTCTGCCCTCAGAATGTTTTTCTGATCCTCTCATACAGTAATAACTATAGTTTTATACTAAAGACATAAATGTTCTGCTTGTTATTCAGTTTGTTTTTGTCCTGTTAATATTATATAATATATGATTTTGAAAACAGCAATAAAAGGGCTGTGATCTGAGAAATATTCATCCAAGTACATAAAAAACAGTTAATTATGTTGATAAGTTAATAAATGTTGATGAAACATTTCAGAAATGTTCATTATCGCTGATACTCTTATCTTATTTCCAGACTTGTGTCGTCCTGGGTCGGCCTAAAGTATATTTGAGGCTTAAAAATAATATTTAATTGACTAAAATCCTTTAAAAAAATGTGTAATTATGAAATATGATAAATAACCGTTAAAGCAAAATAGTGACAAAAAGAATTAAATCAACATAAAAGAACAGAAAAAACATCGTAGTTAAACATTTTTTTACGGAGCTAGCTATTAAAACAAGGCTAATAATAGTAATCGTCTCTTCTCTCGCAGGTCGTCCGAGGATTGACTCCTCCAGACGTCCACCGACGGTGACATCACCGCCTGCCCCGCCCCCCAAGGCTGCTGTGGTCACCGCGGATGACGGCTCACCTGAACAGCAACAGGTGAGCTGAATCCTGATCCCGTTAGATAGAAGCTGTGTTGGCGTCCCCTACAGGCTGTCACGTCCACCACCTGAGCATCCTGATGCTGTGTTACCATAGTAACCATGTTTGACGGCGTAGCCATGGTAACTGTCATCCATCACAAAGCACCAAGAACCCCGATTTATCAAAGTGAAAGTCTGAGCGGTGAAGGCTGCTGATCCAAATTATTCCAACTTAGAAAATCCAGTTTGTTTCACAGAGAGCTTCAAGCATTTATTTATTTTTATGTCAGTTTAATTTTTCTGTTTGGAAATTCAACAATAAACTAACGTGAAACAGTTCAGCGCAATAAAACAAACAGAATCAGGAAAATACAGAAAACTAATGAAACCCAAAGATGAGAATAAAGGTTTTCTTCTGGCCTCATTCATTAGTTGTTTAATTAGATTTTTCTGCTTTTTGTATCCGTCAGTTAATTTTTGCCGTCAGTGAAACTCAAGGTTTTAGTGTAATTTTGAGATTCCAGCTTCTCTTACACGAATATTTTCAGTTTCTTTGATCTTCTCCGACAATAAACTGAATTTCTGTGAGTTCAGGACGTTTGAAAGCATCTCTGTGGGTTTTAGGACGCTGGAGGTTATTTAAAGATTTAAAAAGGCACCAGGAAGACACAGCGTTCATCTTGATTTTCAGTCAGAAACTCATCCTTTCGAGCTCTGACGGTGTTTTTGTGTCAACAGAAGCAGCAGCTGGATGCAGACGAAGCTCCGCCTCCTCCTCTTCCTCCGTCACACACCATCAACATCATTGAGAGGAAGAGCGACGAAGAAGAAGAAGAAGAAGAAGAAGAGGAGGAGAACGTCTTCCCTGGAACAGACTTCCTCTCTGTTGCTGATGTTGTTCAGGTAACTTCTTCTTGTTCTAAATGAGTGTGCAGCGCCTCCTGCTGGACACAAACAGAACAGCATGACTGACTTATTTCATCGATATTCTTGTGTGTTGAGTTCATATTTTATCACATTTTAATTATATTTTTGGACATTATCTTAATATTTCTAGACATTTTAATAATATTTTTGACATTTTATCCTTTTTTTTACATTTAATTCTTATTTTAGATTTTTACTTTTTAATTTTATCGCTTTTTTATTTATTTATTTTTTACTGCTTTTTTTGTCGTCTATTAAATTTTTTTTATCAGTTTTAGTAAAAATCAATTATTTAGTTTAGTTTAATGAAGATTTTTGATATTTTATTAGTATTTTGGGATCTTTTTATTAGTATTTTTTACGTTTTATAAATCTTTTTGAATGCTAAATTCATCTTGCTGATTAAAAGTGATCCGTTTCAGTCCAAATTCAGTTTTGTTTTGTCTCATTAAGAATTTATGAATCAGCTGGAACATCTGAAGTACCACCTGACAGACTGTAAACTAACAGACCTGTGACCCGTCAGCAGGAGCCGAGTGTGGAGGCTGAGGAGGAGGTTCTGTTGGATGGAGGTCCGTCTCCTCCTCCGGTCCTCTACCAGGGTCCGGCCTTCCCTCCCCAGGCTCGCTCCGCCCTCCCTGCCCAGGATCAGGTGTCCGTCCCGGGCATCGAGCAGCAGCGTGACGCCCTGGAGACCCGGCTGGTGGAATGGTGAGGAGCCAGAGAGGACTGGGAGACCTGGTGCTGCAGGTTCTGACAGAACGCTGAGGTTCTGTTCTGTTTTTGTGTTCAGGGTGGAACAGCAGCTGATGTCCAGGATCATCGCTGATATGTACCGCCCCCTGCCGCCTGACCCCGCCCACAACCAGCACACAGACCAATCCGAGCTCGAGGAGCGCAGCGTCACTTCTGACATCGGTGAGTGGACGGACTGACCTCCTTTCCTCCTCACATACCTCCTTCTCTCCTTCTTTACTTCCTTCTCTCGTTTTTACCTCCTCTGACAATTCTACAGTTTCATTTAGGAGACGCTTTATTGAAAGTGTCGTACGTCTGAGAGCAGATACAACACAAGACACTTCTTTACCTCCTTCTGTCCTTATACACCTCCTTCTTTCCTTCTTTACCTCCTTCTGTCCTTATACACCTCCTTCTTTACCTCCTTCTTTCCTTCTTTACCTCCTTCTGTCCTTATACACCTCCTTCTTTATCTCCTTCTTTCCTTCTTTACCTCCTTCTGAACCTCCTCCCGTCCNCTCCTTCTGAACCTCCTCCCGTCCACATATATCTCCTCCTTTCCTTCTGAACCTCCTTCTTTACCTCCTTCTTTACCTCCTTCTGAACCTCCTCCTGCACCTCCTCTCCTCCTCCTGACTCTGTTCTCTGTCCTCAGTGGAGGCAGCAGGAGGTGGAGGTCTGCAGCTGTTTGTCGACTCCAACACGCCGGTGGATTCAGAGTTAATCAGGCAGCTGGTTAACGAGGTTCTGACTGAGACTGTTGCACTGATGCTGGGTCAGAGAGACACGCTGGATACTGGACCAGAACCAGAACCAGGACCTGCAGCACCTCAGCAGGTACAGAATCTGTCATCAGAGACTCTCAGCTGTCGTTTTTCTCTGAATTCATCACTAGCTTCTGCTGTGTTCCAGGACAAACTGGTTCCACTGGTGCCCACACCAGTACCGACTCCACCGCCCAGTCCGACCAAGCCCAGCAGAGACACTGCACTTGTGACCACGCCCCCTCCGTCAGAACCAACCAGCCCGCTGAGCGAGGAGCCTCCTCAGCCAATCACAACACCGGGTTAGCAGTGTTAGCATTAGCATTAGCAACACACCAGAGTGATCAGCAGCATTAGCTGGAGAGGCTGCTACAGTCAGATTGTATCATAAAAATAGATAATATATAAAGTTATATAACCTGATCACAGGCGGATTATATATTAAGAATATATAATGTTCTAGGATTCATTTAAGTTTGATTTAACTCTGTTATGTAGTCAGATGTGGGGGCACCGGAATCTTTCTGCGTGGAGTTTGCATGTTCTCCCCGTGCAGCGTGGGTTCTCTCCGGGTTCTCCGGCTTCCTCCCACACAGTCCAAAAACATGTTGAGGTTAATTGGTGATTCTAAATTGTCCGTAGGTGTGAATGTGAGTGTGCTTGGTTGTCTGTCTCTAAGTGTAGCCCTGTGATGGGCTGGTGACCTGTCCAGGGTGTCCCCTGCCTTCGCCCTAAGTCAGCTGGGATAGGCTCCAGCCCCCCCGCGACCCTAGTGAGGATTAAGCGGTGTATAGAAATGGATGTAGTCAGATTCTAAATATATGGAGAGTAATAGAGCTAATTATATAATACACAACATCATGTAACAGATTACTCTGATAATAATCTGGCTACAGTCAGTTATGTAATCAGATTACAGCCTCATTGTAGTCAGATTACATTCTGACTGCATACTATATAAAATCATCTAAATTATTATCAAATAATCTGGTTACAGTGAGGTTTTGTAATCAGATTTCAGTTTGATTATTGTCAGATTATGTAATGGATATGAACTAATGTAATCTGATTACAGTCTGTTTCTCTCTGTGACCTCAGAGCCAGTGGCCACGCCCACTCCCAGCCCAGAGCCCGCCCCCTCTGCAGGAAGCCCACCTGCTGTTGAGGCCCCGCCCTCTCTCACCTGGGGAGACGCTGAGCTGCCATTGGACGAGGAGAGACCAGAGGAACACCTGGACACACACAAGCAGCAGCTGTACGAACGCACACACGTGTTCACTGAAACTTCAACATATTATCAGACATTAAGACTTTCTCCTCCTGCAGGCTGATGTCAGTTGCAGAGGAGGAGCCTCCCCTCTCCTCCCCTCTTGCTCCCCCTGCCTCCCTCACCCCTGCTGGCTCCCCGTCTCCCCCACCTGGACCCGCCTCCCCCTGCAGCTCCTCAGAGACCAGCAGCTCCAGCAGCTCCAGCAGCTCCAGCATCAGCACCAGCACAGTGACGGCAGGAACCGAGGCGGCGCTGAAGCACATCTCAGAGGGGGAGATGCTCATCAGCATCAACCAGCTGGCAGCCATGACGGGTACCTTCATCATCATCATCCTCATCCTCATCACTAACAAACAGGATACTTTAAACTGTCCAGCTGTGCAGTTCACCCGAGTCCAGTCAGAAAACTGCAGATTTTACTTTCACTTTTATCCCACCAAAGTCCAGTAAAACAAAAAACCTGCAGATTGTATTGACTTCATTTCTACCAGACCTCAGTCATGAACCTGCAGATTTTGCTTTGACTGTGTTTTCATCGGTCAGTGAATTTCAGACTATGCTCTGAGTTTGTTTCCCCAGAATCAAACCAGAAACCTGAAGGTTTTTCTGTCATTTCATTTCCACCAAACTTCATTAAAAAAAACGCAGATTTTAATGGCACTTTTTTCCCCACCAAACATTATTCAGAACACCGTAGATTTACTCTCCCTTCGTTTACACCAGACTCCAGTCAGATTTTCACAATTTTATGAGGTGCAAATATGGATGCTGCCTCCTGAGCTCCATAGCAGACCTCAGAATCTTTCTGTTTTCACAGAAACACTGAATGTAATTCTCCAGCTTTGTTCTCGCTGCTGTGAAACTGTGGATGTACATGTTGTGTTTCAGAGGAGGAGGCGGTCTGCAGCTTCTCCAGCTCTCTGCAGGAGATGCAGGACATGGTGAGGAAACGCTGCAACATCTGGTGGTCATTCTGTGTCTCTTTGTGGTTGTTGTGTCTCTTTGTGGTTGTTTTGTGTCTGTTTGTGTTTGTTTTGTGTCTCAGTAGTTTTATGTATGTAGTCATTTTGTTCGGTGTTCATTTGTGAGGCTGTCAGCTCTAATTAGGAGGAATAAATTCCTGCAGGTAACGTGTGACTCACCTGTTAACTCGGAACCATCCAGGTGACGTTTTTATGAAGCTGATGAACAAACTGAACCAAACGAATGTGCTCACTGTTGCTGTAAATACAGTAAAACAACGTTAAACCGACGTCTTCTGCTCCTCCTGCAGGACCTGGACCCCCCCAGTGAAGGTCAGCTCAGAGGTCACGACCTGCTGCTGGCTCTGCTCAACAAGATGGAGGAAGGAGTCACGTCCAGAGGAGAGCGGCCTCAGCCAGAGGTCACGTTACTGACAATAAGAATGAATATTAGAATCAATAAATCAGCTCCACGGTTAAATGCTACCGCGACATGAAGGATTTAAAACACACTTGTGACCTCTGACCTGTAGGGCTCCGACCAGGAGGAAGGGGAGGAGGAGGTGAGCGTCGGGGAGGTGAGAGACGAGCGGACTACAAAACCTCACAGGACTACAAGTCCCAGACGGCAGAGTCCAACGTCCTCCCCTGGACAGATCAGTCAGGCTGCAGGTATGTCGATGTCCCCGATGCTTTTATTTTGGTAACTCCATCGATATTTGCCAGCGTTCCGGGTCACATAAAAACAGCCGGACTTCTTAATAAAGACAGAATCCAGTTGTTTCATCCTGAAGCTTCTCTACTGAACCCTTCATGCTCAGAACACGTGTCTCTGATACAAACACGACAGAAGCAGACCTGTTTTGAAAAGCTGCTCACTGATCGCCTCAGATGATCTTTTTCTTTTCAACACTAGGTCTGTTTTTACTCTCAAAGTGTGAAAAACGAGCTCAGACAACCTTTAAATCTGTTGAAGAACCAGATCCACATCTGGTTCATGATACTTTAGTGGTTTTTTTACTTGAATAAAGACGTTTCCACCATAAACTGACGAAAAAAGGAGTAAATTGGAACTTTAGGATTTAAAATGAAATGATGCGCTCGACGCTCCATGTTGTCTGAGAACATTAAACATTATTTAGATTTTTTCTGACACTCAAACTTTTTAATGTGTCCCTCAACATTTCTAGTGAATGAAACGTACAGAAATCATTTCCTCTGATGCTTTTAAAAACTAGAGCTGCTGACCAGCTCCAGAGTTTGTCTTTCTTTTGTCATTTAAAGAGTAAAAAAACATCAAACTTGCATCAAAAACTTTATTAATTTCACAACAATCCAACAGAACGACTTCAGATAATTAACAATCCTCGTTATTATTACTCATTATTCTGAAGAATGGTTGTCTTTTCTCCACTCTGACGTTTCCTTCAGATGTCGGTTTTGAAGCGACCAATCGGGGCTCGGTTGCCGTGGGCGACCAGGCAGCGGAGCCAATGGGAACGCTGACATCGGAGCTGTCGCTGTCTCACCTGGACGACTCAGACGCAGCGGCGCAGGTGAAGGAAAGAGTCACGGTTTTAGGTTTTAGACGTCGTTAACATGAGTCAGTAAAATAAACAAACTCCTTCTGATTGTTTGTTTGTTTGTTTGTTTACAGGTGGTCAGGCAGCTCGACACACCGACAGGTAGGAAACTGAGACAAGACTTGGATTGAGTTTCTGTCTTTGTGCTGCAGGTCAGAGGTTCATAAAAGACTTGAACCAACACAAGAAACAACAAATAAACTGAATTAACACCATTTAGAACCACAAGAATAAAATATATATTATTAAACGACAAAATAAATAATAATAATAATAATACAATAAAATAAACAGTTTAAAGCACAAACAGCAACATGAAACCCACTGAAACCAAGAAAACAACAAACATAAAACTAAAAACACCTTTAAGTCATAAATTAACAAACATAAACAAATAACATCATGTTTTACAGATTCCTCCATTTGTACAAATTCAAGATATTAAAAGTTGTTTTATGTAGAAACACAAACGTACTTCTTTCATTGATTTTATAGTTTTTATGTTAAATTTCCGTTTGCTGCTTTTCCTTGTTGTTGTTGTCGCCGACTTTTAAATCTAGTTTTTATTGTTTTACTGTATTTTAAGTCTTTGTTTTTGAATCTAGTTTAAACATTCAGTCAAAGTTAATGAAGTAATAATTAATAATAGTTTATAAAAACAAGAAAGGGAAAAAAAGGAACAATAATAATAATATAAATATGAGTTATTGATTACATCACAGACTTCACAGTGAATAAACTCCTTTAACGCTGATTTTACTGCTTTTTACATAAACGTTCTGTTTCTAGCAGCTTCGTCTGAACAATGAGACGAAAAATCAAATAAAATTAACGTAAAGGTGGATTAAAAGAATTAAAAGACAAAACGAGACATTAAAATAACAGAATATACATTAAATTAGATTAAATTAGATTAAACTAGGACGCATAAAAACACCAAAGCATTTTAAAAAGTGCTGTAAAACCATCAACTGAACAGAAACCTGTAGAACCAGTGGAACCAGTAGAACCAGTGGAACCAGTAGAACCAGTGGAACCAGTGAGGATGTGGAGCATGTGAGCAGCAGGTGGCGCTGTGTCTCCACTTTCCTGTGGCAGTAGAAGCAGCCGGTTTTGTTTTCTTCTCTGATTCGTTTTGCTGTTCAGCTCTGGAACAAACAAACTGCTGATTAAAGACGAGCTTCAGGTTTAAAGTGGATCGATGAGAAAAACATGATGAAGACGCTGCAGCTGGTCACGTCCTTATATGGACGTGTGTGTGTCTGAGTGTGTGTGTGTGTGTGTGTGTGTGTGTGTGTGTGTGTGTGTGTGAGAGATTCATGTTTCTGTTGTTTAGCAGCAACTAGTCAATAAATGATGTTTTCAGAGTTCATTAAAACATGTTGAAGCTAAAAACACAACAAGCTCTGATTTATTCTATTCTGTTATATATGATTCTATTATATATTATGTTAAATTCTATATTATTCTATTATATGTTATTATATTATGTTATGTTACAGTATTATCGTCTCTATTGATCACTGATTCTGAGCTGATCAATATTATGGAGAATCAGTGATTAGATTTCATGTCTCCTGGAAGCAGATCAGAGCTGTTTATTGATGTTTTCTGTCTTTATGCGGCTGTTTAGTGTCTCTTTGTTGTCGTTCTGTGTCTCTGCGGTGGTCTGACGTCTTGTTGTGGTTGTTTTGCTTATCTTTGTGATAATTTTGTGTCGTTGTTACATCTTCTTGTGGTTGTCTTGTGTCTGTTTTTAGTTGTTTTGTGTCTACTTGTGGTGGTTTGTTGTTTTTTTGTGTTTGTTTTGTGTATTTTTGTGATCATTTAGCTTTGTTTTGTAGTTCTTTTACATCTTTTTGTGGTCATTTTGTGGCTTTGTGGTTGTTTTGTGTTTTTCGTGTCTCCGTGTGGTTGTTTGACCTTCTTTTGTGCTTGTTTCGTGTGTTTTTGTGGTTGTTTTTTGTATTTTTGTGATAATTTTGCCATCATTTGTAGTTGTCTTACGTCTCTTTTCAGTTAATTTTGTGTCCCTTTGTAGCTGTTGTGTGTCTTTGTGGTTGTCTTGTGTTTTTCATGTCCATATGTGTTTGTTATATTTCTCTTGGTGGTTGTTTCATGTATTTTGTGGTCATTTTGCGTCGTTTCGTAGTTGTTCTACATCTTTTTGTGGTTGTTTTGTGTCTCTTTGTGTATTTGATGATTCATTCCTACTAAAGAGCAGATGCTTCCAAACAGCTCGCTGACTTTCTCTCGAACTCGTTTCCTCAATGTGGTATCTGAGCGTCGGGCTGCAGATCCTGGTTCTGTGGATCCAAACAGGATTGAGCAGCGCCGCAGTGTTTGTACGAGCGTCAGGATGTGGATCTTTACTGAAACAACACAGATGGTGTGTGTTAGTGTGTGTGTGTGTGTTGTGTTGCTGTGGGTCAGGCTCGCTGTGAGTCTGGTGGAGACTCAGACACAGAATCTGCACAAGAACCTTCCTGACGGCACAGAAACACATTTAGAGAAGCATGAAAGAAGTCCAGCAGGTTCTGTCAGCAGGAAGCCTTTTGGGTTTATTTGTGGTTGTTTTCTGCCTCTTTGTGGTGATTTTGTGTCTTTTTTGGGAGCTTTTGTGTCTCTCTATTGGGTATTTTGTCTCTCTTTGTGTTCATTTTGTGTGTTTTTCTGGTCACTTTGTGTTTCTTTGTAGTGATTTTGTTCCTTTTTGAAGGTTTTGTGTGTTGTTATGAAATGAAATGAAAAATACTTTATTTATCCCAGAAGGGAAATTCAATATTGGCCATTTTGTGTCTTTTTGAGTTCACTTTGTGTTTATTTGTGGACATTTTGCATGTCTTTGTGATTGTTTCGTGTTTCTCTGTAGTGGTTTTGTGTCTCTTTCTGGTTAGTTTGTGTTTATTTGTGACAATTTTTAATCTCTTTGTGGTTGTTGTCTGTTTCTTCGTAGTGATTTTGCGTCTTTTTTTGTTTGTGTGTCTTTATTGGCTATGTTGTGTCTCTTTCTGGTTATTTCGTGTCTCTTTGTGGTCGTTTTGTGTTTCTTTGTGGTGATCTTTTGTGTCTTTTAGCAGAACTCTACCTGCAGATTCCAAACTAACTCGTCTTTATATGAATTAAAACCCTGCAACAGGTTTAAAAGACGTTTATCAGCCAGAAACTGTAAAAACACACAAAGAATCCTCAGAGTTCTGGACTGTCTGACGGTCCCTGAACCCAGCGTGTGGATCAGAGACACTGAGCTTCAGTCTGAAGCCGTTCAGGAAACGAGTTCTGCTGAAAGGACTCAGTGTCGGACCTGAAACAGTGAATTCAGTGTGAAGCTGAAACAGTCGTCCTCACACACACACAAGCCCACCGCTCTGATGCTGCCGGAGTCGCCACGGCAACAAACCGACAACACGTGCCTCCGTTAGTGGTCGTCACGGTTACCGAGCTGCTCTAATTAAAGAGACGAAACTGACGGGCCTTCAGCTCCACACACACATGCTGAGCTTCCATCAGTTGTGAGGACCGAACACCAGCAACACATAGAGACACACACACACACACACACATACTCAGGGTCATATGTAAACTCGCGCTCTGATTGGCCGGCAAGGCGTCGTAGTAAACATATCAGCACAGACGCCGGGTCGCCGACGGTGACATCCAGCATGTTTCTATGACAACGAGATTCACTTAAAGATTTTCTGCTCTTTTTTTTTTAACCCTCTGAACTCCAGCAGCAGCTTCTGGCTGGTTCTGTCTCCACCGAGGTTCATGTTTCACTGAAGTCCTGCAGCTCTGAGGAACCAGAACATGAAAGAGGAGAACTCAGAGACGTCTTCTGTCAGCAGGACTCAGTCAGAACCATGGACACCAGAGAACAGTGGAATTTCTTTGATTATTTAATTTTAAATTAAACGTCCAAAATGACATACAAACTGTTGGAAATGATCATTTGTCCAACTAACTCAAAATTTGATCAAAACCTGTTAAAATTTGTTCAAAATTACCAAAAACGTGTCAACATCAATGTCACAAAATCCATTTAAAATTTGTCCTCAAAAGCTCAAGCTGGTCAAATGGGTCCAAAGTGACTAAAACTCTGTCAACAGTGACTCAAATTTTCCAAAATGTCTGAAAATGTGTCCTGAAATGACTCAAACATTTCCAGTAATGACTCTACATCTGTCCAAAACTTACACACACACTGTTGGAAATCAGAATTTGTCCAACAAACTCAAAACTTGAACAAAACCTGTTAAAATTTGATCAAAATGACACAAATGCATCTAAAATGACTCAACATTCGTCCGCAAAAGCTCAAACTGGTCAAATGGGTCCAAAGTGACTAAAACTCTGTCAACAGGGACTCAAATGTTTCCAGCAATCTCTTGAAATCTGTCCTAAATGACTCAAAGTTTTCTAATTTGTCCTAAAATGACAAAAAAACATTCCCAAGATTAAACAAGAATCACTGAAAATGACTCAAGATTCTTCCAAATGAACTAAAACTTGGTCTTCTGCCCAATATGACACAATCAGGATCCCATAAAACTAAAACTAAAAAGATGTTCCACCATCATCTGTAGAAAGATGTTCCTCCATGCTGGATGTATCTCCGCCAACTGGCTCCTCTGTTCTCTGGTTCTGCTGCGTTTATTTATTGATATTATTTTGTTTTCTTCTAAAATCGTCCAAAATACCTCAAAAACTGGTTCAAACTAAAACTTTATTGATTCCTCACTGAATCTCCAAACGACTATTTTTAAGACACATTTTGTAGATTTTTTTAAAAAAGCTAAGATGTCTTTTAAACCTGGCGGCGGTTTTGTGGTTCAGAAAGTCCAAACCATCAGTCAGAACTTGATCTTTATCTGTGATGGCGGCTTCAGTGAAGCTCATTCTGTGTTTGTGCAGCTGGACGGGACGAAGACGACGGAACCAGGAGGACGAAGGAGGTCCGGCTACCGTCAGTCAGACCCGAGGACACGATGGACGAGTCAATGAGCGCGGCAGCAGAGTCCGACTCGTCCAGCGATGTTTTCTAGAAGCGAGTCGAATGTGACGCTTTAATAAACAATTCATGAGAAGGTAACAGACTGTTGATGTGGACCTCAGCTGGTCCAAACCAGAAGAACTTTTTTATTGACATTTACAGAGTTTGATCAGCTTTTCATTATCAATAGAAAAATAAAGTGGATTTAATGTTTTTAAAGGACACTGTCTGGGTCTCTGTAATGTGGTTTTGTGGGTTTCAGTGTCTCTCTGTTGTCGTGTTTTGTCTCTTTGTGGCTGTTTTGTGTGTCTTTAGTCATTTTTCTGTCTTTGTGGGTTTAAATGTCCCTCTGTGGTGGTTTTGTGTGTTTTGTGGTGCTGATACAAATCACTGATCCTTTACTGTGGTACTAATTCTAATGGGAGTTTTTCAGACCTTCACATTATTGGTGTGGTATTTTTTTTTTCATGAAGTCTACAATCAGATGTGTAGAGCAGATGATCCACCGCTGATCGAAGGTCAGGCACCAAATTTGTTTAATTTTTAATTTGTCAGAAGATTCAATAAATTCTCCAGTTTTAAAAAAAATAACAATTTTCTGGCCGTTACGTCGTGGTTCAAGATTAAAGCCAACTAGAACTGAACAGAACCCGCGAGCCCAAACCTGGAGAACATTTACCATCATGCAGCAAACATACACACACACACATACACAACCAGATAGAAAGGCTGATATCAGCACACACACTGAAAACACACTGAGGTGGAGATAAGACGAGGATTATAGACGCAGCGAGACGGAAACTCAACACAACACACATGTTCACACACACACACACACACACACACACACACACATGTTCACACACACACACACATGTTCACACACACTTCAGGGTCGTGAGGTCACAAAAACTCCTGATGTGAACAAACTGAAGAGAAAAATGTGAACGAAGCTGCTTTTTTAAAACAGCAAGAGTTCAGATAAAAACATAAATAAACACAGAAACATGAAATATATGAACACAAATAACCACGAAACATAAATTAACAAATGTTTAATGTAAACATAGTTAACGCACAGAAACACAAACTCATAAAGAACAAATATATTAAAAACACGTAGAAATATAAATAAACACATTGATACATATAAACACAAAGATACACAAACAAACATATTTAAATATAAAAAGCAATAAACATAGAAACAAGTATTAACACGTGTAGAAATATGTGCAAACAAAAACACACAAATAAACAAGCTTCTGTTTCTACCTGTATAAACAATAAACACAAATAAAAACACATTCATATCCACAGAAACAAACAAACACACAAATAAGGTGGAGAGAAAAGAACCTGATTCAGATCTGGCAGCTTAAATCTAATGTGTGTGTGTGTGTGTGTGTGTGTGTGTGTCTGTCAGGTATTGATCGGACTGATCGATCGTCTCGTGTTTCTGACTGATGATGGATTTTCTCAGACGGAGGATTAAACTCTGGAGCTTTGATGAAGCTGAACTCAGACCTGAAGACGAAAACATCAGAGGCACGAACGTTAGACACACGTTAGACACATGCTAGAAACACATTAGAAACACGTTAGACACGTTAGAAGCACATTAGACAAACATTAGACACACGTTAGACAAATGTTAGAAACATGTTGGACACACGTTAGACTGACATTAAACACATGTAAAACAAACAATGAACACACAATTAACACATGAACAACTGCACACAACAAAACATGTGAAACACATGCTAGGCACACAACGAACACGTTTAACACACATAAAACACATGTGAAACACCATGAACACACAATTAACACATGAACATCTGCACACAACAAAAACCCAACAGACACATGATAAACACACAACAAACACACAAACTGCTCTTCTTCACCTGTAAAGTCATTGATCTCAGTTTTTACACATAATTCTGACAAATCAATCATCATGAAAACAAAGTTTAATTATTTAAACTCTAATTAAGAAACTTTCAGGAACCAATGAAACAACGTTTAGACAACGTTCAGTTTGTGGTTTTTGTGTGTTTTTGTGTGTTCTTGTGTCTCTGAGCTGCTGTTTGGCTTCAGAGGAAACGTTTCAGCTTCTTCTCACATTTTAAAGTCAGTTCATTGATTATTAAGTGAAACCAGGTTTCTGCTCAGCAGCAGTTCTGCAGCTTCTGATCCGGTTTTAGATTCTTTTGTGCGTCACAGATCCATAAATATCAGCCGAAGCTTTTATCGGAGCTCTTTGTTGGAGCCTCTGAGGGTTCATCAATACTTTATTTTTATTCTCCATTGTTTCTCTCATTTCTGTCCTTCTTCACTCAACGAGAAGCATCAGAACGAATCTCTGAACACTTTTATTTTTATTTAGTTGAGCTATGAAACATACAGAAGTTTAGTTTTGCGTTATATTTTTTTTTAAATTTTGTGTCATTTGTCTGCTTTCTTCTTTTTATTCTTTCATCTCTTCTGATTTTGTCCCATCTCATTTTACATTTCGTCTCTTCGTCTTGTTGTTTTCTTTACCTTTTTATTTCTTATCGGGTCTTTTCATCCCTTTAACGCAGAAACTAAAGACAGATCAGATTTAAGGAAAACTAATAAACTGATACAGAAAACAAAACATTAAACAACAATAAAAAAATTAAAAAAAACAGAAACTGTCTCAATGCTGATGTTTATGCATAAACTAACATTTCTACTGATGTTGGAGGGGGAAAAAACTCATTTATTCATTTAAGGATAAATTTACAACAGATGAAATGTGCAGAAGGTCTTTACCTGGACGCACCTGCAGGATCTGTGACGTCACCACTAGTCTGGAGCCAATGAGGGCGCAGTAAGAACACAGTGTTTTTCGTTTTTTTTTAATGTTTCAGTAAAAATCTTGATTTGCTGGGGAGGACTCTGGTGTCCAATCAGTGCGGAGCTTCTCCTGCAGCTTGTTCAGCTCAGATCTACTGACCAGACGGACAGGAAGTCACGGAGCAGGATTTTCAGAATAAGTCAGCAGCAGGCTTCATGAACACCAGATGAAGCTCACGAACACAGTTTGAGCTGCTGAGTGACCCAGAAACACACAAAGACTCTGATTGTTCTGTGGATTGTCTCTGGTGGAGACAATGAGGATTAAAATGAGGACAACGCACAGAAACACTGTCAATGAAGAGTTTAATCCAACTGAAACGTTAAGTTTTATTAAAACTAAATGTTGGAAATCTGGTTTAATTTTTATTTTTTTAATTCATTTTTTTAACCATTTTTTGTTGTTGTCAAAATACTATATTTCTTTTCTCGTTAAGCTATTTGTATAAAAACTGTATAAATGTTTCCACAGCTCGGTTCTTCTAAAAATGCAGGTAAACACATAAAATAGTTGTTAAATATTTCTATAATTAGTCTAAGTTTGAATTTGGATTTTGTGCAGAAGTTGCTCGGTGACGGGCTTTAGGACCTGGAGGGAGCCTCAGCTCGGAGGCGGCTCCACGGGGCGGAGCATCAAGTTCACAGAAATACACACAATCAGACAGGAAGTACAATATTATACCTTTTACAAAATAAAATGTATTATATTTCTTTTTCTTTTACATATTAAATCAATTTGCTTTCACTTAGAAACAGATGTTAAACCTATTTTCCTTAAATTGAGTTGAATATCTTCTTTTGTTTGAAAAGGTATCAAAGTACAGGCTCAGGGGGTTCCATCCCTTAGCCAAGAAAATTTAAATGTTCAACTTTAAAGATGATTTCAACCTCATGTGAACTGCAGGTCCTTTTTTTGTCACTAAATATCTAAAAACAACATGACTGCAGGTAACTGGTAAATGTGTTTATCTGACAACAGGAGAACTCGTTTCTTTATTGTTTAAGTATCTAAATAGAATCTAATAATTCACTATTTATGTCTGTAATGTGTCGAACCGATAACGTGAAGCTTCTGATCTAGTCTTCTCTGTTCAGCTCATTTCCTTCAGATTTTTATAATATTTTTGTGAAATGTCTTCTTTCTCTTGCTTGTTGTTCAAGATTGAAGAGTTTAAATTTGTCACATGCTCCTCCTGTTAAATGCAAAGTGACTGTTGTCAAGGCGGTGCCACAGCAATAAGACAATATTAAAGGAAAAAAAGACAATTCTTTTAAAAAAAGATAGAAAGAGGTTTTTCTAAAAGTCACAAGGTCATCAATAATGAGGATATTATTTATTGTTATTAATACAATGTTCATACAAACACTGTGTAAATATCTTATTTTGAAGGTCTCGGTAGGAAGTACATGGGCGTATTGCTGCACACTTCACTAAACGGGCGTGCTACTGAGCGTGACGTCACCGTGTGGGCGGGGCCTGAGGGCTCGCGGTGACGCTGCGGTCAGTGCGGTCGGAGCTGCAGGAGGAGCGGCAGCAGGACGCTCCGTCTCCCGCTTCTCTGCTCCATTCTCACGGATCTGGTGTCTGCTGCAGCCCGGAGCACGAAGGGATCTACCGGGACGTGCTGCTGAGAGGAACCGGGACCCACTGACCGGATTATCAGAGCAGCTTCCTGAAGGAGCACGTTGAACCACCGGTTGATTCCGTCCGGACCTGCTGCTCCAGGTGAGCCTCCAGGTGTTTCCTCCCGACCCGCCGCTCAGCACCATGTCCCCGCAGAGACCCTGAGCTCCCAGCGGACGCTCTGCCGGAGGACATGCTGCTGTCCGGCTCCTCCCGGAGGGACGCCGCCGGCCGCGGCCGTGCGGCGGCGGCGGACGCGGACGCTGCGGAGCGGCAGCGGTCGGTCCGGGAGCGGCTGGAGGCCACCGTGTCCGGCCTCGGGGAGCTGGAGTTCCTGCGGCAGCGGCAAGAGCTGCTGGTCCGGGCGGCGCTGGAGCTCCGGGAGGAGGAAGAGGAGGAGGAGCAGCAGCGGCGGAGGGAGCTGAGCTCCGAGGAGAAGCTGCTGGAGGAGAACATCCTGCTGCTCCGGAAACAGCTGGTAAGTTCACCTGTCCGTCACGTGACCTCTGACCTCTGTGACCTCAGCGTGACCTCACAGCGACCCAGGTGAGGTCAGAGGTGAGGGAGGGGTCAGGAGCTCAGACACACCTGGAGAGAGGGAGAGCTGATGATCAATCAATCAATCAATCAATCAATCAATCAATCAATCTGTCAGGAGATCATCAGCTGATCAGTTTGTCCCAATAAACCCAAACATTCAGTTTATTGTGGCAGAAAAATAAAATGGTAACAACAGAACATGGAGGAATTAATTCAATAAATCACCAAAATAATCAATCAATCAATCAATCAATCAATCAGTGCTGCTTGTGTGAGTTTTACGACAGAACACTGAAAACACAAAAAGTATCTGACAGTTTAAACTTAATCTTTTCTGACGTTTAACAGAACAAACAAGTCGATCAGTCATCAGGTAATCAATAGATTCACTGATAACAGGTTTCTGGTTGCTGCTACTTAAAGAATCGATCAATTAAAGAAAATCTGACGACTGACGTTAAAAATGTGGAAATCGTTCATTTGAGTCAGACGTTTACATAAACACACAAGAAACAAATCAAATCATCTCAACGAGCTCCATTTGAACAAACTCGATCTGTTGACGGATGCGGTTGAAAGCTCCAGAAAATACGACGTTTTTAAATTTTTTTTATAGCAGTTCTGTATTTTGATCAATAAACTCGATCAGACGGAAACTACCAGCAGATTGTTGAACAGAGTCACTAATGTAAAAAGTAAAGGATCCACAACGGAACCCTGAGGAACTCCACCAGCTCAAACCAGATGACAGAAACTGATTTATGATCTGAAAACATGAAAAAAATGACTGTAGATCAATAAATCAAAAACTGAAGTTCTCATCAGTGAGTGTTCAATGGGTTTCCTCTTGTGAGATTGTTTTCTTTCTGTACTTATGAAATCTTTTTCTAACAATTAGGAGGATTTTTCTCATAATTATGCTTTTTTTTTGTTATTGTGAGTCTCGTTGTTCTGAAATATTTTTCCCATCATTATGAGAAAACGTTCTCATTGTCGTGTTTTCTGTAGTAATTCTGAATTATCTCACTTTTTTGAGGATGTTTTTCAAAGTACTTCTCAGAATATTTGCTTGTCGTATCTGAGTTTTCCCATAACTATCAGATCATTTTCTCTCCGTGGTTATAAGATATTTTTTCCTAACTATGAGAAAATAATTGTTGTAATTTTGATCTAACATAATGAGGCTATTTTTCTCATTACATTTATTTTGTAGTAATTCTCACAAAGATGTCTAATAGTGGTATGAGGTGGGTTGTTTTTTTTTTTTTTAAATAATTGTAATTAATTTTCATGTATTTATGAGTCATTTTTTCCATAACTGTGAAACTGTTCTTGTAGTTATGAGATAGTTTTTCATAATCATGAGAATTATGAGAACATTTAGCTTTCTTGTAAATATGAGTGAAATCTGTCTTTCTTTCTTTCTTTCTTTCTTTCTTTCTTTCTTTCTTTTTTATTTATTCGTTTTCTGTAGTTCTGAATCAGTTTTTATAACAGCTGAGAGTTTTCTCATCAGCGTTCATTCAGATTCTGATCTCTGTTAGAAACACGAGGCTGTTTCTTAGTCGTAGTTGGGAATTTTCTCTGACTTATAAACCCGTTTTCTCATATTATTGAGCTTTCTCGTGGTTCTGAGTCTAATGTTCAGGAGAAAAGCTTCACACGGTCATGAGGAGAAGCAGAAGAACCTGAACGGTTTTGTTGTTTCTGTGGACGTTTTCCCTTAATGAGTGTCTTTACTGTCAGATAATGAAGGTCTGTAAAGACGATGAAGTCACGACGATGACGAGCTCCTGCTGCTTTAATCACGATGTTTCTGTCGGACCGGTGCCAGAGAGGATGATGGGAAAGTCCAGAGAGGAGGATGTGTGTGTTTTTCTGCACTTATGGGGACAAAAATCAGCTCCTCACAGCGTAAACTATGAGTCTGAACTGGGTTTTATGGTTTAATGTTGAAACCTGATTTGGGTTCAACTGATGTGATGAATCAGTTCGTCTGGTGGTTCTGGTTCTGTTGTACTTTTGTTGTATTTGATCAGATCTCGTGTTTTTCTGAAGCGTCACTTTCATTACAAACTCATACAAACGACTTGTGATCGTTACCAGGCAACTAATTAATTAACCGGCCAATCAGGACAGCTGCAGACTTCTGATTGGTTCCCGACGGACCAACGAGGCGTCGGCGAGGCTCCGAGGAGGTTTAATCAGCTGCTGGTTGGATTTAAGAATGAAAGTATGTCAGCGGCGCTCAGACAGCTGCTTCGAGTTAAAGCGACGACGAACACGAGTCAGGAGTTCATCTGGACCGAGTCCCTGAAGGAACCTGCAGGGTTCTGATGTAGTCCCAAAGAAATCATCAAATTAAACAGTTTGATCGATTAATCGTTAAACACAGCAGATGTTCTGGGTTTTCTTCCGCCTCCGATCATCAGTGTGGATGTTAATAACGACGTCTGTGAAGGTTCAGCTGCACACTTCTGTTTAACGAACGTCCTGTTGGTCAGCAGCTTTTTTCTCACAATGAAATCTGAGAAACTATCAGAGATAAAAACATCATTGATCAGAATCTGTGATGCTGACGAATAGATGAAATAAAATATGACAAGAAACTGAAGCTGCCATGAAAACTAAAATATAAATGATTCAGACGTCAATTAGTGATAAAAACAGAACATACAGAAAACTTTAAATGTGAAATATTTCATAACAAAAATGAAAAAAAAAGTTATTTTTGTTGAGTTTTCATCACAGATTGATCAGATGTGATGAGCATGAGTCCATATTTATATATGTTTACATATTTCTATATGTTTACCTCTAATAGTTCCTGATTCAGGCGTGACGTCACCGTCGCATCGAGAAACTGAATATTTCACTTTTTACAGGATCTGGTTTATTTTAAGACAAATGTTTAAATGGGACATGATGGATGAAGTGATTCTGTTGGAAAATGTTGACTTTAAGCTCAGATTGAGTTGCGTTTTCGATGGACGTCACTCATGATTAGTTCAGGAAGTGTGTGAAGGTTGAGAATCTGCTGACTGTTGGAGCTTCTGGCTGATGAACGGAGTCGTTTTGGGGTTTGATCTCCAGATGAGACGTCTTCCTGTGGTTCAGAGGCCTCTTGTTTCCACACTCTTGTTTTTCTGTCAACGTGTTTTCTGTCCTGCTGCAGCTGTTGCCGTCTTCGTGCTGCGTTCAGGTGCAACTTTTAACACGTCGGCGCGTCGGCTGGAGCTTTGAAGCCGAGCCGGTGTGAAGTCAAACAGCAGAGAAGCTTCGGGGTTTCGCTCGGCAGCTGCTCGCTCGCTTCAGTTTTATCTTCAGATGTTTCCGGAGGTTCGAGCGTCGTGTTCGTCTCCAGCAGCTGCTCGTTCCTGCAGACTTCAGTCGTGTTTTCAGAGGAAATCTGAGTCACGTTTCTGAGAGTTTCGACTCTTTCTGTCCTGCAGCTGCAGCTCTGAACTCAATCTGGAGCACATTAAAGCTGCTCGAAGCTCCCACCCCCGAGCGCAGCAGCAACAAATGGAGATTCCTGCTGGAAACTCTGCAGATCGACTTTCAGCAGCTGAGACACAAACACACTGTTTGACTGTCTGCAGGAGGCTCAGCAGGAGAACCGGGCCCAGCTCTGGATACTGGTCCTGGTCTCAGTGCTGGTCCTAATATTGGACCGAGTACTGGTCCTGTCCTTTCTGTGCCGGACCTCATGTCCAACCAGTTAGAGCAGGAACAGCTTCAGAGTTCTGCTTGTTTTCTCTTTGGAGCACAAAGAAAATGAAAATCTGGAAATAATCAGAAACATTTGAAACCACAAGAAGTTCTGACCCGCAAACGGAAGAGCAAAGATTTCAGATTCTGTTTTTCTATCATCAATCAAACTGATCGGATCAGTGGCAGTAAACGTGAGAACAGAAGATCTGATTGGTTCGAGTTCTGCTGGATTCCAAGACCAAATGTAAAAACAGTCCAACACCAAGTCCAAAGCAGGTCTAAAACTAGTCCAAACCAACCTAAAACCAGCCCTGAACAAAGTCCAAAAACACGTTTAAAAACAGTCTAGACTTAAGACAGCCCGACAAAAACTCTAAAACCAGTCAAGATGAAGTCCAAGATCAAGTCTAAAATCAGCCAAGAACAAGTATAAAACCAAGTCCTAAACCAGTTTAAACCAGCCCAAGCTCAAGTCTAAAATTATTCAAAAATCAGCCTACATCAAAACTAGAACCAAGTCTTAATGCAGTCCAAATGAAGTCTAAAACCAAGTCTAAAACCGACCCAAAACCAGTCTGAATCCAGCCCAAGACCAAATCTAAATCCAGTCTAAAGACAGCCTAAAACAAAGTTTGAAAACAGTCTTAATCAGGTCTAAAACAGTTCAACACCAAGCCTAAAACCAAGTTCAAAACCAAGTCTAACACCAGTTTACAAACACAATCCAGAACCTCTCCAACACATAGTCTAAATCCAGTTTAAAATAAGTCCAAAGCTAATCCTAAAACCAGTCTTAAACACTCAAAGCAGCTACGCTCTGATAAGTCAAACCTTTAAGCCTGAATTTAATTTAAAACGTTGAGTTCTGTAAAGAGTCATTTCCTGTTCAGTTGTCATGAACTGGACCTGAACTCCAGAGACCAGAACCATGTTCTGTTCCAGCTGTGAACACGTTTATTTCTGCTGTGAAGTCCAACATCTTGACCTGGAGGTTCTGACTCGTTGCTGGAGCCTCGAGTGGCTGCCGGAGGAACTGCGGTTTGATTTCCAGCTGTTGGGTGTTTTCTGTTGGCTCTGTCAGCAGATGAAGTCTCTGCGGTTTGGTTCTAACTTGTGTCGTTTGTTTAGTGGGAGGATGTGAAGGGAGGCAGGAGGCTGAACGGATCTCTAATTAGAAATGAGTTATCGGCTGTTGGATCCGTTCTCAGTAACGATGCTGATAAA